TCCTCCTCCTCCTCCTCCTCCTCCTCCAACAGCACCACCACATTTGCTGCCCAGCGCTGCAGCTGTGGTGAAGCAGCCAAAGCTCCCGCTGGCACCCCCGTCCATGGCAGCGGCGGTGGTGCCTCCCCCTCCGCTCGGAGCACCTCAGCTGGGCACTGGGTTACCCCTGCCGCCGCCTCCACCTCCGCCGTGCTTTTGAGAAGCCATGAGGCCTTTTTTCCCTGCTCCCGCCCCCACCGCTGCCTTCCTACTTGCTCCAACGGCCTCATGGCTCCTCAAAAGCATGGCAGAGGAGGAAGGGGGAGGGATAATGCGGGGGCCAGCTCAGGTGCTCCACGTGAAGCGAGAGGCACCACTGCCATGGGCGGGAATGCTGACAGGAGCTTTTGCGGCTTCACCTCAGCCACATATATTCTGGTAGCGGCGGGGGCTTTGGGGGTTCATTTCAGCTGCAGCGCCAGGCACAAGCGGCTAGGATTGGCTGCCCACAAAGGACCTCCCCGGGCTTGCTTTGCTGAAAAGGGGGCAACGACACTAGTTTGAGAGGCCGCGACCAATACAAACTACCGTCAGTCTCTCCGTGCATCAAAACAAGTCTGGGGAGGTCCTTTGCGGGCGGCAAGTTCTAGCCGCCTACAAAGGACCTCAGACTTGTTTTGATGCACGGAGTGATTGATGGTAGTTTGCAGTTCTAGCCGTCTGCAAAGGACTTCCCCGCATTTGCTTTGCTGAACACGGGGCGACTGATGGTAATGAGCGGCGCAGCCGGCGCCTAGGAGATTCTAGGAGACCGGCTGTGCCGTGTAAGCTCCTGCCGCCATTCCCCCACCCCCGCGCCCGTGCTAACCCTAACCAAGACAGAAAATCTGAGGCCCCTCAGCTTCCCGAGCCTGTGACAAAAATCACTGCGTGGCAGTTAGAAACTGCTGTGCGGTGTTTTCTTGCCATGTGCGCAGCCGCGCACCTTAGAGGGAACAGTGCACACAGGGGCCTAGGACGTCGTAACGTATTTTCGTAATNCTTCCTGAGCCAGACGATTTACCTGTGAACCAGGATGTTCTTAGAAGCTTCTTTATGGTAACTCTGGGGAGGTTTTTTTGATTCTGGTAGCAGCACAGCAATAGCCACTTCCTTAATCATCATCCTGTCTAGCTGGCAGCTGGGGATAATTTCCTCATGCATGCCCCCTCAGCCAGAGGCACACCCACACTCAGTGGCCCGCAGAGTCAACACAACGGTAATCGTCATTTGAGGGACCCTTCGGAATGATAGGCAGTGATGAGCTGTAATGAACACAGCTTAGACAGGAAGTAAACTCAAAATCCCTTCTTAGCTGTCAGGCAGAAGGAGAGTTCCCAGAGGCAAAAGAGAAAGCGGCACGTGAGCCTAAATGTGAAGAAAGAGGCAGCTATATAATTATCTCAGTTTTATCTCTCTACCTGTTAAATAGTTTTAAAGTTGCCTTATAGCTAGTAAAATTACTTAACCATCTAACAGAGAGTTTTTCAACCGTGCCAACTTTAAAGTACTTCAACTCCCAGTATATTGGCTGGGAAATTCTAGAAGTTGAGGTCCACACATCATAAAGTTGCCAAGTTTGAAAAACACTGACCTAATGTAACCCGGGAGGGTGCATATTTCTTTGGGAGCTTACTCTCCAAAGTAACCAAAATTAAATTTCATCACACTTGATTTCATAGCTAGTGTAATTGAAATGAATTTTAACTAATGTGGTGAATTTCTAGTTACATATTCCCCTTGAGTGATATTAAACATGCAATTTAATAACTTTGGAGACTTCAACAGCATACCCAAAGCTTTGGCAGACTCTCTCTAACCCTAGACTCTGCTTTTCCCCTTTCAGCTGTTGTCCGGGGCTTCTTTCTATATCTGCCCCCTCCTTCCTTTTGACCAGATAATGATTGCGACAGTTTGTGCACCATACTATTGTATGTAAAGTTATCTGTTCTCTCTCTCGAAATGATATCTGAGTACCACGGGAGAAAAGCGTAGTTTTTCAAGCTTTTTTTTCTTACAGAACTGGAATCTCTGAGTGGAAAGTTGTTTCAAGAGTTCAGTTGAGAAAGACTGGCAGCAGGGATACGATAGCTTGATTTGTGATTCCAGTTTCACAGCACAAACTGTCGCTTGAGATGTAAAGATATTATAAGAGGGAGGTTGGCCTTTGGAGCCAATAATACAGAAAGAGAATATCTAATACCTTCCAATCTGTTGTACTGCAATTCCAACTTGGCTGTTGAGCTCTAACGTGACCTTCTCAAGTAGTTAACTGCTCACAGATGATGAGTTACTTCTAGAATTGATATACTTCTTTTTCCTTACAGGTGTAGTGAGTGCAAGACTGTCTTCCACAATAGTTGTCAGGCAAATGTCAGTTTCTGCCCTCGTTGTGTCCGTCGACAGAAATATCACCAGCAACTGCAAGAATTCCTTTGGAAATGATCTCAACTGTGCCAGTCCTTTTTGGAAGATTTTGGAATTGGATAAGAGTCTGGAATTCTCCAGAAGGCAATTGGAAAACAGAAGCTTAGGAGCAATGGAAAAACACTGCCAGCTGCACACTTTCTGTCTGGATTATAGTCCTACAACAACCAGTGCACCTTGCCATCAACTCTGGGAAAGGAACCCACAGAGATACTTCCTTGAATTCACCCATTATTCCTGCCTTCCCAAGCAAATCCATCCTTATCCTGACATTTGGTGAATACTGGATATTAAAGGCATACGTAGCAAGATCTCCCAAGAAGACTGATTTTAGTGGACGTTTCTTGAATTAAATAGCTGGAGAAAAGGGAATGTTATTTTACTTTTAACAAATGCAATTTCCAGAAGATTTCTTGTGCCTTCTACACTTTACAGACTGCTCTTAAAATGTCTTGTGCCAAAATAGCTGCTGAATTCTTTAGGAAGGCATGCCATCCTTGGTGTCCTCCTCAAGCAAAGTGACCTTCTCATAAATAAGCTATTATTATTCTCCACTTTTTTAAAAAAAATGCTCAGTAGGCATATTCCAAACTTGATGTTAATATTATCTTTTATTCTCCTAT